TAGCATTTCGTAGAACTACGTCTAAACATTATTACAGCAAATTTTGTAATTGTCTTTTTATGAGAAACGAAAATTTTATTGTGTTTGCAAATGTACGAAAGTAGATCGATAATGCGGCACTTAATAAAAGTTCTATCGCTATCGCAAATATTTAAACTGCGATAAAGATGTGAACGACGAAGGGCGAAGCAAAATAGAAGTAAACTGATAGTATTGTTTGAAAAGGATCGATCATCTGCGAACACGATTTCCCTTTTTACGTTCGTATGGTAATCTGAGAGAAAAAGACCGGAAGATAACGCGAAACCGAAGAAAATTGCCGGATGATTTGCGTGAGTTTCTTTGCAGACCGATTGAGATAAACGTGACAATCTTTCTGCATTCTCTCGATTTCTTGTGAAGAGATGAAACGTCGAAAACGTTACCTGCAGGTGCTTGTAAAAATGTTTTGTTTCGAGTTTCGTATTTGCTTTTCATGCCACACAACTTTTCCATAGGATTTTTGATACACTACAGTAACAGAACTACAAGAGCCATCCAAAAATATGAAACAACACATCACATGTAAAGATTTATAATTGAATCAGAAGTTTTATTAAAAAAGTTAGTACTTGAACTCGTTTGCAAAATGGACGGATAAATTAATTTATCTATTATTGTAGTTTCTCGATGCTTATTGAATGCACAATACTAAATTTATCAAATCATTTTTAAATTAAATTAGCGCATTTTGTATAAAACAATTTATTAATCAAGAACGACTCAAATAAAAACATTTCTGAAATATCAACAATATTTAATTAAAATAACAGCGTAAGAGATATATTAAATTATAGACGAAAAATGTCGAAAGAAAAAATTATATCGCACTATTATTCGACGGGCTATTATTATTTCCTCTTTTGTTACCGGAATTCTACCGCAAACTCTTGCAATAAAAGAGACATAAAAGTCTTCGACACGTGTCGATAACAATGAGAATTTGATGAGAAGTTAAATAGTGTGTATTACAATGGCGTGCAAATAAAAGTGCCGTATAGAATGCCACGTAATCTCGATCTTTATTGAAAGCCAAGCGTAATATTACGCGACCATAAGAAACGTTTCACAAATAATAATATATCAAGATTATCAGGATTATGTGCTTTGAGCAAGTGAAAAAGGACAACAGGATTAAAGAAAAATTTAGGGGATGCAATATAATAAAAGCATTTTACGGAAGAGCCATTTTTCCACTTAATCGTCTAAAATGTACGACTTAATCGAAACATTTGTAATATTATCTTTTCTGCGGACTGCCGATGATTGATGTTAACGCGAACGGTACGTCATCAGACCGTGCAAAATTTAGTATGAAAGATCATCGATCGAAACGAACGTTCACCAATGGATTGGCCGAGCCTCCTACTTTATTTAACGTGACTTTGACATCGGTCCATTGTGCGCGTATCGTCTCATCAAAATTCCAACAGGGACGTTCATGTCACTACGTGGATCTGATCTATAAACTGATGAAAAAAAATCTTGACGAGTCAGAGGAATTACAGGAGTAAAAGCGTATAAAAAATCGAATTGTGCCGCGCTGTTTTCCCTTGATCTAAAAATTCTTCAAAATTTATTCGTTTGTCAAATATCTCATTGACGTGCGAAATAAATCAGAGAAAAAAAATATTTTTTTTGCACACTGTAATGTTATAAATGTAATATTGTGTTCTAATTTATGTTATTTTTATTATTTAAGTTATTAATTATTTACGCATTTGCTTGTTTCCAATTTCATGTTTAATAGAGCGCATAAATGCTACACATGCAATTATTTCTACGGGAAATAAAGCTGTGTGATTTTGCTTGATACAGTAATATTAAGTTACTTTCAATGAAATATGGACGTGGTTTCGCCGGTGTTCGATTTATTTATACAGTATAAGTTCATATTTTGTTGATATTATTATGATGTTATATAAATACAAGTTTACATCGTGTCTATTTTATCAGGTATTTAATAATAAACTACTTGCTGGTAAGCTACTTAGCCTTTAATTATTAACATGAATTTTCCCAAAGTTAATGTTTGTGCGTCTAATGTCTCAATTATTATGTTAAATATCACTTAACCTCTTGGAATAATACTGTCTGACTTTTGTGAGAATTTCACGTCGGATATAACGTCCACATCCCACGCCGGTATTTAAAGGTCAACCGAATAAAATTCAAAAACAACTCTTTTGTTACATACTTTTCTGCGCAATTTTTCTCTCTCTCTTTCGCGCTTTTTTAAGCGTTAAAACCGCATAAAATTTTACTAACCAGATAAAATAAGTGGCACTATCTCCTTTTTGTTATTTTTATCCATGCTCTATTGATTTTTTAATTTTCTTTATTTTTGTATAATAGAAGCTTGATATTTGTAATTATCTTTTATTTTAGCAAGGTTAAAATTTTGCCGGCGGAAACAATAAAAGAAATTTCTTTTTGAAAATAAATGTTCAATAATCCTTGAAACATTCAGTACATTGAGTGACAGATAAGACAGCGTAAGCTTCCTTCATCATTAGAGAAAAAGGACATTAAAGAGGAAAAGATCGAAAAAGAACGAATGATGTTAGATAGTGCTTCGTTTTTGGAAAAGATAATGTGACAAAGATAGAACACCGATAGCAATTTTATCAGATGCATAATTAAGATTGAAGATAAAATTTTTCAATTCTTTTTTCATGAGTCGCAAAATTTTCTAAGGATAGAACGAGAATAGAAAATACTATGACATTGTTTGAATATGTATTCGAATACACGTACATTTGCGAATAAATCTCGTACTACGTCTATATCTATATTAAATACTGTTCTCGGAATTTATTTAAATATGTGACACACAACGTAGGACGAAAGTCATTCAGATAAAAAATGTCCGGGAGAATGACAGCTATTCGTTTCCCAAAGAATGATGTTAATTACGTTCGGTATTTTATCCAAAAGTAGATTAAAGTTTTAAAATAGTTTCGGACAAAATAGTTTCGGTTCTCATAAATCGCGAAGAGCTTATAATCTGATAACGTTAATTTAGTAAACCAAAAGTTAGAAATAGTGTTATTTCGTAGTTTACAACAATTATTCGTAAAAAAGGAAAATCCGTGTAAAATCAGAGAATTGCTGTTTACACAAAGACAAAGTTAAAAAATTCATGAGCCGTAATTACATTAAAAGAAGACAAGAAGCGAGAATGGCACCTGTTGCCGCCGTCAAACTATTCCTCAGCTTTAAGTCATCAGAAACTTCTCTTTCACCCTTTTATTTTTTCACCCTCATCAAAACATCGTCAACCTTCGTATCTTATGTACAACGATAGGCTGTCAAATTGAAATTAGCATTTAGGTTTAATCTGATTATGAAATACTGTACAGCTTGCAATAAGAAACAAAACATTTTTATGAATTATTGTTGCTACGCAATATTGTTATACGTACTAAAAAGAAATTGCAAATTGTATTTAAAAATGCTGCTTTTACTGTTATTATATGTACAGAAAAAATCTTCACCGGTTTCCATTTACTGGCAATTACAAATTAACTCCGTAGGCGAGCCTGATTGAGTTACAAAAACGTTTATTACGCCACTCGGGTACCACTTTTTCCCTAATGGTATTGCCATTTTAATTTTATGCGTATTTTAATTCGTATTAATGATTTTCCAGCGAATTAAACGCTACAACACGTGCATGTATCCTGCAATTTTTATTTGCGTAATGAACATCGTTTTAATCCCGTTTATACAAATTTAGCATGCGAGTATGTTTCTTTAATAACTAAAAATTTCACGCAATTTCTGCGATGGAAAAAAAGCACACATGCGTTTCCAGTGCGCTGTAGTTTAAGCGTGTACTGCAACGAAAACAGCTTGTGTTATTTTTTTGACAGTTAAGGACTTTCGAAAATTTTATCCACAGTTATCGGCTTTGCGCTTGACCCGTTTTATCACACCTAGAAGCAGTGTGACTAAGCAGGACGAAAAAGGTTTCGTAAGCCATCGGATTTTACCATCAAATATTGAACGAGCTACTAAAGAATTTCGATTTTAGTTATTCATAGCGACGTCGCGATATCCAATTACGATTGTTCGCTCTTTTTTTATTCCATTGCGATTGTTAAATATTTATCTTTTTATAAATCTATTGATATTATTTTTATATTAATAACAAAATGAATTTTGACGTCTGTAACATATAACAGATTTGTTAATGAAATAAAATTAGTATGCTTCTTTTGTACTTATACAATCATTTGATTATTTTATTTTGAAACAAAATGCAAAAAAAAACTATTTATTGAGTGTAAAGCATTCGTGATTTTATTCAGATTTAACACTGGGATTCGTGTCTGGTGATAGTATTTTGCAAAGAAGTAAAGTACTACGACCGTTGAAATCCACGTCGTAAACTTGGCGCGACACCTCATCGAACAGAAGCTACTCTTCCATTGCAATGGCATTTATCCCTCGCCAGTCGTAAATAACTCTATATTTTATTTTTACTCTGTAGAACTCCATTTGCGTGCATCTGCGCTCTAAAGGGCCCATAAAGTCTTTCGTGTGAACGCGCTTTTACGTTTTACTAAAACTTCTCCAGAATAGATACAAGATTGCTCAAAAAGCGGTTAGAAAGCAATTATTATTACAAATAAAATGCCGATTATTGTACAACAAAATGTTATTTTTATAATCATTGTAAATTAGCATGTAGTTGACATTTATTTCGAAAGGTTGAAAAACTACTACGCGGAAAAGCGGTTAATATGCAATCAAAATGTATAACTCGACCGAGATGAAACTAATTTCCCTTCCCAATTTTGGCAAAGGTGAATTTCGCGTGCGTGTGCATTTGAAAACTCAATCTCAAACTATCAAAAGTTTATATGACATTGCTACTGCAGGATGAAATTCTGCTCCAATATCCGACTGATAGTCCGATTGGGAACTTACAATTCCATGTGATTTTGTGTTTGCAGATTCAAATAAGCATCATGAAGTCTAGAACGAGTCCGATCATTATGAGAATCTTTATGTTCTACTTGTTGAGCGTCATCGGACAATCAACGGCAGTAATAGAAGAAGCTCCGTCTTCATCTTTACACATTCCGCGATTGAACCCGTTATTGAACAACTTGGAATATGAAGAACCCGCTGAAAAAAGGGCGTACGCTTACGTTTCCGAATACAAAAGGCTACCTGTGTATAACTTTGGCATCGGGAAAAGATGGATTGACAATAATGAAGATAAAGTGAGTTCCAAGAATGAGTAAAGCATTAAATATTTCATTGATATAGAATCAATCATTTGTTATCATAAAAGAGTTCATAAATCATGTCTGCATAACTATATATGAACTATGTATGTCAGTGTTTAGAAATTCAATTAGAATCTTTTAAATAAATATAAAATTTTACTTTTATTATTTTGTATTATTGAACAATTTTACGTAATATATTGTAATGTATGAAGAAAGTACAATGCAAGAAAAATGAGGTCGGAGTACATTTCTCGCAATTACATTCTTTCACGCAAAAACTTTATTCGCAGAGAACGCGGCAATTCTCATTCGGCATCGGCAAGCGTCTCAGAGATTACAGGTTTGGTATAGGAAAACGCAATAACGGCTACAATCTTCTGGATTTGGATTATTTTTCGGCCGACAATATGGACGGCTATCATTCTCGTGAGGACAATTCGGACGATTTTATGGAGAACAAGCGCGGTAATCACCCCTTCGGCTTCGGTATCGGAAAACGAGTCTGGAAGCTACTGCCGGGAGAATCGGCCACATCTGGAAGAAGACCAAATGACTCCGCTGATTCGAAATACTTACTCGGTTTGGGCAAAGAATTGGACGGGGATCTGGCGCAGTAGAACGTTCTCATCAAGGAGCGCGGACTGTTTTCTCTTCCGCGTTCGAGCTTTAATCTTTGGACGATCGCAAAAAAAATATATAATTTATTCGTTTCCGAAAATATATTGGGTATTAAAAAAATATTAAATTTTCACTAATTTCTTTATCACATCTTGATGTTAGGTTTTAATAATAACATAAGTCTATATATTATAATTGTATCAGTATTCTACGTTGTACAGAAATAAATTAATATAATTAACGCATTTGTATAATAAGATTTATCGATAATCTTTCCAATAAACTCGGGATTATCGAAGGATTAAATTCATAGAAATCATGACGCAGCTTTCTACGCAAACATTGTACCATATCCGGACCTAAGAGCAAAAGATCGTCTGTGGAAGTTAAGAGCGATAATAAAATTCCGAGATTTCTCTTTCCAAAAATTTACTGTAAAATTTGCACGTTATCGACAGTCCACGCTCCACCTGTCAATGTTTAAAAAGAATCGATGGAGGTACTTTAACGGAGAGGTATCCGATGTAGTCGTAGAAAAATTCCTCTAGATTTTCTTTATGCGAGATTGTATGATTTTATTGCTCCACCTCGCTTTCTCAATTCTGTAATTAATAATCAAAAGATTTATTATGTGTTTACAAGAACGAATAAAAAAAGAACGAAAAAAAGGCATTTATTATATGAGTCTATTTCTATTATTTATACATTTTATTATATATATTATTTAATGCTTATTATTTAGTGCTTTTTATCAGGGTAAAGTTGTATTATTTTTCTGCAGTGTTTGAATATTTTATGGATTCAATAGAGTAAAATGTAGCGATAATTGCATTAAAACATAGAAAAATTATTAAATTAATTGTCTCTTATTATTCATAATAACAATTTACTATAATTAGATAAAAACAATCTCTCAATGTGCTAAAAGAAATCATATTTACCTGTAATTACTTATTCTTATTGTTCGACGATTATTTTTAATTGTTGTAAAAAACAAAAATTACGCTATTGCATAATTGTACCTGTGTCCTCAATGTTATAATAAATCTTGTAATCATCTTTTTGTTATATATGTGACATCTGTGCACTTTTGACATCATTTCCGATTATTTAATTACTCTAGCAAAATGAGAATTTATCGATAATAAATGTTAATCTAGTGATTTCACGATGTTGCAACATTTATTCCATTAAGTATTATAACACACGAATAAATGCAAATATATTCATATGTTTTTATAGAGAGAATTTAATTTTCCATGTGCTTTGATAAAAAAAAAAATGGGAAGATCCTTAATCAGAATATAATTTTTACAAATAGAAGTATAAGAAATTTTTGCGTACAATTTTTTAAATAAACAAATTTATAGTGTACATTAATTTTCAATTGATGATAATTGCCAATCCTTTTTAATATGTTTAATGTGAATTAATAATTACACAATTATAACTTTGATTTTATCGAACCGTGAGACGGATTGTGTGATAAATAGTGTAAGTCTACACGTCAGAGTATCACGAATCAGGCACGCCCCGTTCGGCTTCGATTATCGGACATAGTTTTTAATCGTCGAAGCTCTCGGACGCTCTCACGTTCCGCTTGTTATTTTTACGTTATTTTCAAAGTTCGAAGGATTGCTGCAAATAGTTAATAAAAAATGAGTAAATTTGCTTTACTGTTTTGTAACGTCTCTGTTTTCGCACAAGTGAAAATTAATCGATAAGTGACGCATGTCTGTTACACACATCTATCGTTCAATTAATTGACAATTTATAGAATCGTAAAAAAAAAAATGCGTGGTTCTTCTGCATCATTTTGCAAAACTGTGCTCTGCGTTATTCTGATATCGGAGTATTCCACCGCCGTTTTTGAGAAACACTGGCTTCCAGACCTGGAATGGCAGACTGCGAGTAACTGGGCGGATGGTCACATTCCAGAAATTGACAGTCATGTAATCTTTCCCGAGCAAACCCGACATGCAGTGGGTATTGCTGCAGCCAGTGATCTCAGGCTGTCCGAAATCGATTTGCCCAGGCAAGGATTACTGGCTCTGGCTAGAAACGGTCAATTGCAGGTAAGAGCGGTTTATCAACTTATGGACAAATGTGAAAAAAGCTGATTGTTGGAATAAATCAAACGCGCAGAGAAAAGAACAATACGAATTCTCCTTCTTTTTTTCACATTCGACGCAAGTAGAAAATATTCATTTACGGAATATCGTAATAGCTGTTCCGCTGACAGATTCACGATAATTGCAGTATTAATATTTTAATGATGACTGTTTGCTATCTAGTTAATTGGAAAATTCAGCTCGTCGGAACATTTATCACAAAATGACAAACATCACAAAATGCTGAAGCTAATGTAGCTCGAGTGAAAAATTAAGCTCCGTTTATTAAATGACGATATTTCATATTTGTGTTTTGTACCAAACAATATGTTTCACAAGCTGAGCGATTCGAGAGCGAACGCAAAAATTAGTAGATGGTCGAAGAAGGGCAATCTCTTCTGGGCCGATCCGGCGAACTGGAACGGCACTTCAATAGCCGCTCCGCATCTCGAGCGTGTCCCATGTCGCCAGGACGACGTTGTTCTGCCGAGCGTGAATCGCACTTTAAGTATCCTTCTGCCTGTGAGAGAAATAGAGGTAAAGTCGATTCGGTTGTCGAACGAGCAGCAGCCATTCACCGAATGGGAATGGGAGGACTTTCAGGATCGTAGGGAGTTTTCCAGAGGTAGATTCACCGTAAAGTGAGTTGAGACGACAACCATACGTTCACAATTTCAAGTTTGTTTCGCATAAATTTCTTTTCCAGATACGCCGACCCTCATTTAGCTACGCACGACTGTAGCTCGTGCTTTTGTCAGGGGGATTCTCAAAGCGACTACCTCGAAGAGATCTGCGCCATTCAAAGACCGAGATGTGGATTTACGGGCTGCGAATATCCTCTTACGGTCGGATGCTGTATTTTTGCAATACGCCGGAAAATTAATTAATTAATTTCAGTGCATACGTTCCACTATATGCCGACGTGATTCATCGCGTTTCAGGTGGAAGGTCACTGCTGCTTGTACTGCGGCGGACGCGTTTACACCAGGGAGAAGCTCGCCTTGATGACGGTACAAATCGTGGCGGATGAAGCTTTGGAAGGATACGCGGGGAAAGTCGCCTGGCATACCAGACGCGCCTGGGACGGAGGAGTTGAAATCCTAATAAAGGAGAAAGATGACTATTCCGGGATTACGATACAAGAAGCAGTAGAGAACCTGCGAGAAATGTTGCAAAGTTGGCGCACTTATTTAATCCTCTCTAATTTCCGAAGAATCTTTAAGCGCGACTCAGAAGATTAATTTGCTTGTATCTCAAGCGGGAATTAGATGATGAAAGTTTTCCGATAATCTGGAAAGCAATTTTATCGCGGAAATTATCTCGTGTAGTTTGCATACGAAGCGACGATACAGCCGCGCACATAACGATAAAATTCTTTTATTCGCTTCTATTCTTATTCGCAATACCGAGATATTGATTGCCGTTGACGCCCTACGACGGCGCTCGATTTTTAATTCAGCTTTTTAATTGGAACGCGTAGACATCGCGATCGATCAATTGTTTTCATTCGAACTAATTGGAATGTAATTTATTTGTTATAGAATTTTATTGTATTGTTTTATTATTTCCGCATATACTCCTTCCATAAAGTTTCGTTTTAATCAAAATTTAAGCACATTTCAGAGAATATTTTAACGTTGACTGCCACATTTTGCAGAACATTCTATTACATTACGTTTACATAAGCATAAGCAAATTGCCTCCGGTGAAATGCGCATGTATTCAGTTAACATGTTGAAAGTAATTCTTATAATTTTTTTATTATAAATAATTGTTGATTTTTACTTTTATTTAATATTTAGATGAATAAATTCAATCCAACACGCTTTTAATAAAATGATAAAGAAAACGCGATCAATGGAAAAATAATATTTCAGAACAATAATTAATTAATAAAATTGTTTTTTTCACTTTGCTGCTTTTTTATTTTTCGTTACTCTTTCTTACATCTTTTAGGGTCAGGAATAGACGTGATGATCGCAGAAACGGCCGGTGCAGCTATGAAAGATTCTCGATTGGCTGTTACACTTGGACCTTTCTTCGGGGCAGCCCTCGCCGTGATTGCTCTTTTATTGTCGGCCTTCCTCTATTTCGGTTATTCTCTAGAGAAGTGAGTATCATGAATCATGTCTATTTCCACAATTGCTTTCCATAAATCATACGAAAGTATCAATCTGAGAGAAAGCTGTCGCTTATGTCGGTTTAAATGCAACATTAATATGTTTAACGTTGAATGCCATATGCCGCCATACGGTGACACGGCCGACTTCGAATGCGAAAAGTCGCGCCAGCATTTGGCGCCACATTGTATCCGAGATTTGCATACTTGGCACCGTTTGAGTGAAACGCCGTATTGAGCCCAGCACTCAATTAAATATCCCGGCAAGCTACACTGAACACAAACATCAGCGGAATTAAGGATTATCGCCGTAACGGAAAGATGAAAAAGAAAAGAAAAGAGATAAAGTGCTGCTGTTGCGCAGTTGGAAAAAAGAGGATTGAAGGACGAACTGAAATCATTTATATGCCATTTACATCAATATTGACGTTAGGATCGAAATTGAAAAGGGAAACTTTTCCGCGGACTTTACCGTCATCTGTAACATTCGTGCGTAGTGTATTTCCAACATTTGTATAAACACACCGCTCGACATACGATGGAATAGTAACTACGCTGGCGGAAACGTGATGAGAAAATGTATAAGAAAAATAAAGTTTGGTAGACAATATCGAGCGCGCCGTCAATTGGTGACACATGGAAAATTCCTGTCGATTTTAGCCGACAGGACTCACAGCTGGCTCTCTCTTTCTCTCTTTCTCTCTCTCTCTTTCTCTTTCGGATCTGGCGGATTTCCTATTGACAGTTTTGCATATTTGCGAAAAGAGTGGAAAGAGCAATTAAGTAAACGGATTATTAGCCAATGTACGTGTGCACATACACAGCGTACGTTTATATTTCGCTCTATCTGCATTCATTTCCGGCTCACGAGAGCGTCTAGAGCACGTAGGTATTAACTTCTTTCGAGGACACGCGAGAGAAGTTAATACCTACGAGAGAGTAGGCGAGAAAATTTTACGCGATATTTTTGCGCTATTTACATTAAAGTAGATCGACTCGAGACGACGTAACAATGAATTTATCGCAAACTTTAGTTTTTACGTAAATCTCAAGATGCTGAGATAACAATTTGGATTTAACGCGGTCTCTGAATCGGGCGAGGATAATTTTATTTGCTCGTGTAACAGCGGGATGCGGATAATAAAGAGCAGTACGACGGAAGCCGACGCTCTAAGTAGAACGAGAAGACGGTGGACGGCCAAGACAACGAGATTGCCTGCAACTCCATCAGGCCGGTCGCAAATTCACAGCTGACAAAATTCCCGCCTCCGGGCTATTAAATCCGCGGGGAAATGGAAAACGTCGAACTCGCCGGGATTCTCATTTCCCAGGCGTTCATCCGATACTGTGAGGGGGATGGGAAGAAGAGGGAGAGCGCGAGACTGATGGAAAGAGAAAGATGCGAAACGAGAGTAAGCGCGAGTGAAATCTGTTTCAGCGAGACAGAGTATTTTAATTTGCGAAGTAGCGACACGGATTAATGACAATTTAGCAACACGCGACGGAACGCGCTCTCGCTCGTTCATTTACACGGATTTACGTTTTCCTGCGCTAATTTCTTCACTCGCAATTCTCTTTCTTTCTCTACGATCAAAGAGAGATACGCGGCTGTGCACGCGTCTCTCTCATTCATCTAGCATTTAATTAGTTTGGCTCCCTCGGTGGGCCGACTGGTCGGTTTATTTCTGCTCTCAGCAGGCCTCGAGCCGAATGGAATTAGTCTCTGTGTAATTTTCTCGGCGCCGAATTCTGCTTGGAGCCGAAACCTTCGATCGCAAAGCTTTTGTGAAAATATTTCTTTTGAATAGACAAAAATACTGAGAATAATATAAAAAGATGTAACTAATTAAAATAAAATATTTCACTAAGATGCGCTTCTTAATTCTTGCAGCACAAAATAAAATTAACGACTCCAGCTATTTAATTTTCTTATAAAACTTTCTTTTTATTCTATTTTTCAAAGGTTACTGAGTCGAATTTATGTGACGTATCTCAGATATGAGAAGGATTTAGCGCATACTGTCTATTGATCTGACCTGGAATTTAATTTTTGCAGTGTTCTCTCGGGATGTATGGAAGCTGTCTCATCCGTCCGAGATGGAATTCGGGCGGACAAGCAGAAACACGGCTTCGCCCGTTTCGAGAACGTTCCTGAAGGCAACGTTCAAATCGTTAACAATCCCGGTATGAGTGGACGAGAGGCCGACGGTAATACCGAGATAACACAAGTCGCAGGTGGCAGGTTTGAAAATCCTCTATATAGATCCAAGAGAAGCAAGGAAGAGCATAAGATTCTTGACATCGATGCACCTCTCAGTCTCACCATTCTTAAAGGCAAGATTGATGATCGACTGCAAGACGAAGAGATGGACACTGAGGAATGAGAGTGCATTATCATTATTTAAATGTGTTATATTGATTAAAATATAGAATTCCAATTGTAAACTTGGATAGCCAAATATTAGCAATGCTGACAAATTGACAGATTAATGCAGTAGATATAATTTTTAATATTTTCCTATAAAGTTTCTCAAAGTAGAAGATTTGAAATGAGCGAATTAAATATTATTTTCTGGATCATAGAAAACATATATTAATAGTAAATTTTTTATTAATAGAAACTATCTCTCAAACTTTGAAAATTTCATTAAATATTTGACAAATTCTTTGCAGCTGATAAAATATTTGATAAAAAAATATTTGATAAAAGAAAGAAGACAAAAATGTTTACTTTTGATAGGAAAAATAACACAAGAAATTTTGATTGCGCCATATATAATATACATATATAATATACATGTATAATATACAAGTATGTAAATTAAAATTAAAGCGTACAATGTGTTGCTTACAAGTGTTTATTTCTTATTGTCGTACAACATCCATTCGAAATAACGATCACACGTGACGCCGATCACGTGAAGTCGTGTTTTAGACACATTACACGCACACATAAATTCGAACATTGTCGAATAGAATACATATTTATCTTTATATATACCTTTAATTAATATATAAGGACTCTCTGGATAAATATAGACGCCAAGTACACGAAATGCAGAGGCATAATGCTCGATCGCGTACGAAAAGAAATGATGAATTGTGATAATGAAAATTGTAATGGACGATAAATGTATCGTAACAGACAACGATGCGATTCTCTTCAACGAACGATCACCTATATCGCTCGTAATTTGTCGTAAAATATATCATCTATATATATGTATATAATATTAATGTATACATAATCATTTTATAAAGCTTTATTCATAGAATATATTAAACTCTTTGTTTTCAGTAAAAATTGTAACTTTGCTTTGCTTTGTACAGATATATATAATGTCTTCTTTTCATCATACACACGTGCTCATGCACATGTATGTGGCAATTAAAACCGAATGTGTATGTGGACAAAAAAAAAGGAGTGTTTTTGACCAATCAATTTGACCAATCAATAGTTGTAAAGCTCCCAAAATCGGAAATGTTGTTACATTCACATCTACATCTAATCGATTACTATAACTTGCTACGTTTATTGACTGCTTCATTGACTTATTTCCGACAATGTATCTTTAGCAGAATTTTTCGTAGATTTTCCTAAGAACCCGGCATCGATCTAGAGTTATCCTAAAACTCAACCTTGTAATAATTATCATTACACGTACATTTATACAGTATGATCTGTAAAAGACAGTAATTAAAAATAAGAATACATCCTTTAATAAATTTGAATTTTTGACTCCATTCGGATTTGTCTTAACTGTTTATGTCACACAGTCGCGATCATTTTGTTATGTCATTCGAAATGGAATGTCTATTACTTTCCACTTTCTTTTGCTTCTTTGAAATTCTATTATAAATTCTATTATAAATTCGAATGACCGCCGAGAGAGTCAATTTACCAATGTTCTAGTTAAAAGTAAAATAATAATATATTTTTTTCTTAATTAAATAATCTTATGATCATCCTGTATACATATACATTTTGCGCTAAATTATTATAATCACACGACAGAAAAGATCATGTCGCCTATAACATTAATTCGCATCAAAGTGATACAATATCGATACAATGGTAATTCGCGACTCGTGCTGTAGACACTCATGCGAGGTATGTATGATCATTTAATGCGAGTACCACTTTCCGAACTCTGTACGAGAATTAAATCCTACTATCTATTTGGCAATTACGTGAAATGAAAGAGCAGGAAGAGGGAGAAGAAGAGAAAGCCTTCTTTCGCGCGCATTGGTCCCTTTCCGTGACTTTCATGCAGTAAGTAATCGCGAAATCTGCCATTGTCGTGTGTGGCAGCATCTCGCGCGCTGCTATATACTAATCGCGAAACTAAATTACAAAGAAGACAATTAAGAGTCGTAATTGTATAATAGCGATAATAACGCGAACCGGACGGGTTTTCCGCGTACAATAACGCTAAACTATCGATTAATTCTCGGCCGGAATTTTCCTTAAATCGCAAATAATACAACTTTGTTTGCAAACATTAATTTGCATCAAAATCGATATGCGATACGACTCTTTCGAGCGCATATCCGTGTGTATAACGACGGAAAAAACCTGACCGCTATTCGACTTTTATCGACTCGCGAACGCGGATTTATCTTGGACGATTCATCCTGAACGAGCCAAATACATTCTACATCCGTTAACATATATTTAACGAATGTTGCGCGCTTTCAGATTAATGCAAAACAAATTATCGTTGTTGCATATCATCGATAATCTTAGAACCGATTACATCAATATCCGTTAGTATTAACAACAGTGCTTTACAAAATAATAGCACGTCATCAACTCGACGCGGTTGATCCACCGCATATCGTACAATTAGGACTGCGTTTCGATATTCATTGCCAGTATTAAAATGCTATAATGTACGTAACGCGAATTATAAATCAGTACTGACAGTGAATATTGGAATGCAGTCTAGATATCGTCCGTAAAACGTAAATGCAAAAGTCATCGATCCCATCAAAACTTTCACATCGCATTTCTAATTGTACGATATGCGTTGGAATCAACCGCATCGAGTATTTTTCAAAGCACTCTGGTAATGCTAATATAGATACTGAAATATTAAGATGTTAAGATGATGTTAATATTAAGATGATATTAAAATATCAATATATAATTTATATATCCATATCTATATAATTAATAACATTAACATATCTACATAATTAATATTATGTAGATATATAAATTATAATCGATAATCTTAACATCACTCAATCTTAAATACTTCATATATATTTATATAAAATATGTCAAACAATGATATCAGGTATGTAACAAAGTTCGCGAAAATTTTCGCGAAATTTATTATCACCGAAACCACACGCTTTGTCGGTCGCCTAATAATTTCGTATCGTATATAAGTGCAGACACAATCGCATATATTTATCGACAAAATTGTGTCAAAGTAGATCATATTAATATATGCGCTATCAACTTCAGAAATATTTTTTTGAGTCTCAAATAGTTTCGTCATTCATTATAAATCTAGAGAACAAGAAAAGATCGTTTGTATTTGAGTGCCTTTTTCGAAATAGCTTTTTATATTTCGCGTTACATTGAATTGTATGACAAGGAACCACTCGACCACCTCGGTATATTCTCTTCACATGTAATACAAAAAATGTATAAAGCAAATTTATTTACGCGATTGTGTACGCATAATAATATTATACTTGCAAATGTACGATAGGTTTCTAATTTTCATAAAAAATATTACAACATCTTGATGAATTAGAATACCTCGATGTACATATTCTTCTTAAAATTAGAAATACGTACTAATACGTACGTCATATTATACGTACAATCACATAAATAATTTAGTCGCCTATATGTTCCTCATTTTGTGATGCAAAAATTGAAAGAATAAACCCGAGAAGGCACTCCTGGCAAAAATATATTGGTTTAGTAAAGGGCCATAATATGTGTATCATGTTGGCGTTTAAGCTTTAAATTGTTGCCAGGAAAAATTGAAATAACTTGTAGCTCTCGGCATTAAATTGTACAAAGTTTCATCTTATTGAAGGAAGACATTTAGGAAGGAATGTAAAGAAATTGCACTAATCCCTAGAGAAATATATTCATATATTTGTTAATTCTGATCTCTGAGCGATAAGTAGACGCGTTTATCATCAACGGTATATCTTTCGGTTCCTTCAAATTTCTATAAAGAAAAGTTTAATGGTCAAAAATACGCATGTGGAAGAGTAATTTCACGGAAATGTATAAATCGATGTTAGTGCGTAAAAAACTGGCAAATGTAAGATATTTCCAAATTTTTAATCTAAGATACCAGATCTTCGATTAAAATTTTCAGTTCTTGAAACAATTCAATCAAATCATTTAAACGCCTTGATATCGTACAAGTTGGTCAAAAAATTTTGGAAAGGGTAATTAATATAACCCTGAATTTTCTAATTTTAACAATTGTAGACTACAATTGTAGTCTACAATCGTACAGAAACAATCGTAGATTTGTTTCTGTCCAAACAAAGTGTTTTTATGTAACATTCCAATTTACTTGATTAAAATTAAAAAATTGCTATTTAATTATTCTTTTATAAGACATTATATCAATTCTATGTGAGTTATTAATTCTTTTCCCAAAAATTTTGGAAGCAATCGTAGATTTGAGAATTTAGAATTGACAAATTTATAACTGTTTTTGTCCAAGCAAAATCTGGAGATTTCGCACTTCGTTTAGTAACTCGCGATTTTTGTACTCCAGAGAGCTCACTTTATTCTTGTACGAGTCATTTTCATTTGTCAATTTCTTTACTTTGTTCTCCAAATTATCCAAATATTCCTTTTTTTTCCTCCTTGATTCCTGTGCCGATATCTGAAAAATGATAATAATAGTCAATATCTTTAATGTTGTAACTGCAATTTTTTAATTTAAAAATTTTTTAGTTGAAAAAATTTAAAAATATATAAAACACGTAATTTTATGTACCTTATTCTTTATTTTCCTGCGTATTTTCTTTAAATATTTTTCCTCTTGTTTCGACAGAGGTAGCTTTGTAGGTACGGGATACCCTTCGGCTACCAAAGTTCTCTTTTCTTCTTCCGTTAGTTCCAACGTTCCCGTCGATCCCTTCTGTAACGTCAATCGAACGTAAGTGCATCACGTTAATGTGTACATACATACTTGAATCAATAAATTTGACAAGAAAAATGGATCATGATTTCGCAGGCAGATCAAGCGATAACAAGACTAAATCGCATTCAATGTGCAAAAGTCATCAATAACAGAAGCTTCAAGTTTGTTTATAGAAACCCAATAACCTTGCTGATATGACAGTATACGACCATGAATGTTAATATTATGCAAATGTAAACAGGCGGAGATTTGATCGTTTAATCAAAAAATAATTTTTCTAAAAATAAGCTCAAGAACAATAAGTTCTCAGAATACCAGATGGAATTGCTAAATAAAAAGATGTTTTTTGTTCATTAATAAAAATTAATAAAAATTACTATTTGCGTTACGATTTAGTATATATCACTGATTTTTTTTAGGCATTATTATTTGTAACGTTCGCATAATATATTTTAATATCGATAGTGAAAGTACGAGTTAGATTATTTAAAAATTTTTTAAGCAGTATTGAACGCGAATGTCTTCCGATTTTTCCTTTTTTAACACTGTGCAGTTTATTTATACTTCGCTGATCTATCGATTTAATAATAATCCACCTCGAGTTGCGATGTCAAACTCTGTGATGTCTTACCGGCTGGTTGGAAATCAAGGGCGTATTAATGGGTTGCCGAGTGGTGTGAGTGCCACCAGGGTTGGTGACGTAGAGTCGCGGCGCCAGCAATCCCCTGAGATTCTGCGTGGAAGAATCTCGGCGTTTCGGCGAGCAGGAAGCGGAAGCGATACTCTCGGTGTCGGAGTTTACGCTGCTAGGGGGTGTTGGCGGCAACCCCTGTTTCACTTCACTCAACAACACCTCTTTTCCATTGCAAACCACACTGTATTCCTCTTCTACATCCATATCCTCTATATCCATGCTCTGAAATTAAAACAAGGATAATAATAATAAAAGCTAAAAATTCGTGGAACTTTTTAAGCATCTAATAACGCGCGGCTTAAAATCTATTAAATTCTATTTATCCTTCATTCATTTTCAATTCAAAAAAATATAATTATATAAAAAATTAAGACTCAATTAATTCAACAATCTAAAATTACAATGTATCAGAACTGAAGAGCTGGTTATTTGTGCCAAAGTATATTTTTTTAATAAATTCAACTTACCCACGTTTCGAGTATAATTATAATAATTTTATAAATTTTTCTTCGAGCACTATATATATATATATATTCAAGTAAAATCGTGGTAAGCACACACACACACACGACACACATACACAAATCTTAAGATGTAGATAACATAGATAGATAATATAAATTTAATGTTAAAGTATTTTGTCTTTTGCATTATCTATATCGATATGATATTGATTCAATTCGAGATACCTGATAATAACTCTCGTCCTCCTGCTCACTATCGCTTATGTGCGAAATCTGGGTTTTGGCATGGTTAATGGTATGCGGGGACAGTATTGTTATCGTACTTTTATCGTCAACCATATCGCAACTCGACTGACAAGGTGCGCAGGGGCTGGCCGGTGCGCTAATAGGTTCGCCCTTGATTTCAGGACATTCGTTATCTTCTTGAGATACTACGTTATCCCTTTTAAGAACAACGGTCAAGGTGGTGGACGATGCTAATGGCGACGATGTCGATTCAATATGGCTAGAAGTGCTGTTTATCGAAATAGCCGGAAAACATTCTTCTTCCATATCTGTAACATTTTTGTATAAATCCCTTTTTATGATTATTCCATGACACTGATTTCGAAGATAAAATAGATAAAATAGAAAGGTTCAAGAAACGCCATGTAAAAGCATTCTCTACACTAAAATCACATGTTTCTGTTAAAATAAATGAATATCGAGACATGTGGCGTTCTTACCGAGAGACTTATGATCGAGGTTAACAAAATCTATGGTGGAATTTGTATTTGTCGTAGTTGAACCAACACTTTCCGAAGAGGAACCTGAATTGGGCGTATAAGGATTAGCTCCTGGCGTTGCTGGGCTCGGTGGAGGGCTGGCAGTCAGTAAACTGTAGCTGTGTTCGGCTTTTATCGGTCGTGGTCCACCTAAGGCAGCATCGGTCATTAAGCGATCCCTGAGAACTACGGTGTCCCTCGTACATAATACGTTCCCCCACTCCTCTTCCTTGGTGCTCATAAGGACATCTTGGCCGCTTACCTGCAGTATTTAGCAAAAATTTGTAGAAAAGATTTTTTTTCCGTTAAATTCTTAAAACAGAAATTGGTAAATTTGCACATTAGCTACTCCCTCTCCGATCTCTTTGAAATTTGGTATCTCCATGTATTTTGGATTTCTGAATACGAATCTGGAAGAATTTTTCGTCGATCGGACATATTCAGATCGTCATCTTGAAAAATGCACAAAAAAAACTTGTTTTTAAATCTCGCTTTACGTGGAAAGTTGTAAACCCATGTGGAACCTTGCTTCGCATGGAAAGTGTATGCGTGGAGGCAGTGTGTTCCGCCCTTTTGCGAAGAACTTCACCATAAAAAAAAATAACCTAACTCAACCTAACCCTACCTATCCTAAGGTTAATCTTTGTAAGATTAGGTTAACCCAAAAGTAGGTAAGGTTAGGTTAGGTTATTTTTTTTTATAGTGGAGTCCCCCGCAGGAGAGCGGAATACATTGCCTCCACGCATACACTTTTCCATATGAGGCGAGGTTCCACATGAGTTTAAAACTTTCCACGCAAAGCGAGATTAAAAAACAAGTTTTTTTTGTGCATTTTTCAAGATGGCGACCTGAATATGTCCGACCGACAAAAAATTTTTCCAGATTCGTATTCAGCAGTAGAAAATACATGGGGATACCAAATTTCGAAGAGATCGGAGAGGAAGTAGCTAATGTGTAAGTTTATCCAGAAATTAGATATTAAAAAAATTCTATAATGAGAAAAATATGCGATGTAGCACATGTGATAATATTAGAAAAATAAACACTTATTTAAAACAAAAACAAATGCAAATTCTTAAAATTTTCTAAAATTATATACATATATAGGAAATTAAGTGTGGAAAATTTATTTATTAATTATTAAATAACTTATTAATTTTATGGAGTAATGGATAAGGAAAATGTGTAAAATGGAATCCGACCGTAAAAGACTGTTGTAAGCAATGTATTTTGTAATTAATAATACTTTTAGAGTTAATAAATTCAGTCATAACTGCAAAATCCAATAGAATTAAATAGAATAAAAGAAAGCGCTCACCAATTATCGATAATTTACAATAATTTGCAAGACAATCGCTCGATTTTCGCACTCGATGTCGACTTTACTGTCGTCTCCTCACAACTAGATGTTCACTCTCACAATTAAGAAGCATATTGAGAACACATACATGCTTTTTCACTGTACATACATAAACATCTTTTAGAAGGTCGCAAAAGTCACTTTAACGATTTTGTAACAAGAAGAAATAAACACAATATAACATTAACTTCGAATTTTGCAAACATTGATTCCTATAATTATGATTATTCTTTTAGATCTTTGTATAGACTTTTAGAATCAATACGGATACTTTTTTGCCGAATAAACCATCAAAATGTTTTATTTTTTAGCCCTGATAATGGATCGCTATGCGAGTCTGCCAAACATCGTTCGGCTCTCTAGGAATTTGGCGTCGCACGCGATCAATTCGTGCGATTCGAGCAATAGGAGCAGAGAGAAAGAGAGAGAGAGAGAGAGAGGAGGAGAGAGGAGAGAGAGAGAGAGAGAGAGAGAGAGAGAGAGAGAGAGAGAGGGAGAGAGGAAGAGAGAGTAAGATCAAAGATCTATCCTTCACACACCGGCACGTGAAATTTCGCCGCGAAAGCGTACGACGTAGCACGAGGCGAGTCAATGAACAACACGGGAGAGGCCGGCGTCCGCGGTTGTCAATGGTTGCCGTCTCGCGACGAGGTGTCAAGGACCCCTCGACGCGCTTCTAAAATTATACCGCGAGCGTTCCGCGAGCGGTCACACGTAAGCGAAGGAGAAGGGCGCTTAGGTTGAGCGGTCAAGTTGAAGGTCGGCCGTTACCCGCGGGAGTGCGGAGATAGTTGGTAGCAACGACTCCGCGTCCTTCTGCACATCTTCTTGGGGAAACCACCCGGCGACTCGGCAATGCGGAACCCGAGTCTCAAAGTTCGGACAGGTCTTTTCGTCGTTTCGCGGACGACGCGGTTGTTGCTACCGACTTCTCGCTCCGCTGCTGCTGCCTCTACGTACGTTTCGCAGTTGGTTCTCTTCCAGCCGCGGACTTCCCCGTTATGCACGGGCTGCTCTGTGTAATCGAGGTCGGCATGATACTTAAGCGATGACTGAAACGATGTTTGCTCGGTGTCGCGCGTTCGCAGCGGCTTATGAAGCATATAATGAAGATGGCCTATTGAGTTGAGGAACACGAGATATGATCGGGGGGAAAGTTTTGAAGTAGCATTTTATAATGCCTCCTTGTCTTCGACAATTAATCCGACAGCGATTTGATTAATTAAATTTCACGAAGCTGCATCTGAATTTTGACACGCTTTGAATCATTTTCCTTTTGTTTCTGCTCTTTTATTTCTGCTCTTTTGTTTTCCCTCTTTGCCTCTTCCTGGATTCTCCTTAATTTGGATGAGAATGTAGCAATTTTCTGCAAGTGGATAATTAGTTACAATGGAACTATTAGTCGCCAACAACCCGGAACACAACTTTAAACGTCAGAAGTCGTCTTCAATTTTCTTCAATGCTTGATTTTCCATTCAAATTCTCTTGCAGAAATTTATCTTTATGCATCAGCATACTAATAATTAATATTATAATTCTTTGCGAATTAATAACAATTAAAAAAGTAAAATAAAAGAGTAGATTTGTCAATAAAACATTTAAAAATAAGCTTTTATTCCATGAGGCTTTTATTTTATTCAATCTGGCTGAATCAAAGCGGTTATTTGATCTTAAATAATCGCTTTGATTCAGCCAGACTGAAAAATATTCTTGACTCATACTTGATTCTGAAAAGATCTCGCATTCAGCGGCTCCATAAGGATTTGCCAGCTGCAATAATGCGGAACTGGATTCGCAAGGTCACGACTCCACTCTTCCTTTCCTTCTCCTTCTATCTTCCTCGCGCTCCTTTTTTTGATCCTTTTGCCCTTCCGCTCTCCGTTATACTCCGGTCGCGCGGCCAACACTTATCTATCATCCATTCTACGTTTCACTTCCGGCGGAAGCGCGTTGGTAACAGATAATCTTTCTCGTTGTCTTTTTGGAGAGGATGCACGTCTCTTTTTGTTTGTTCGTTACGTCTCGTTCATCGATGATTTTTTTAAATAAAATTACTCTAATTAGTCTTTGTTTATTTATCACGTTTGAATATTCCATGTTGTTTGTGCAAACATTAGAGATATATACACAATCGCATGAATCACTGTAATAAATTATTCCACGCGGTGATAAATTAGCCGAAGTAATTTTCCGTATGTCGTAACATCTTTCAGGAAATCTTCTCTGCCCGATAAGAAACTACGACGCCACTTCTTTACTATTTTTAACACGTAATTCCGCTGCAGATTTATCGACAGTTTTCTTGACAGAATCGCAACAATCGCATTATCGCTGACGCTGCTCTAAATCTTTTAACCTTTTCGAAACAGTTTTCTTATCAAACAATTAACTATCAAAGTAAATCTAGAAAAATTGACATATCTGCATTATTTATTACGTAGCACGGGCATGCTTTAAAAAAAAACGAAACAATTATCAAACATTTAACTTGTCGAGTTTTCGCAGGCAATTATAATTCGACGTCGAGGAATTTGCGATTAATTCGATGACTCTTGTACGCGACGGGGATGGGAACGTCAGCATTAATAAATTAAAGGTAACCGAATGATTAATCGCCGGTGCGCGGTGTTTTCTCTACGTCCATTACCAGTATATCCTCTTCTAGCGCGGTATTTCCGCTGGAAATCACTCCGTGGAGGGCTGGCGCTTTTGCGCGCCCCTCCGGGGTAGGAATTCCGATTGAATTTGTCCGCCGCAAAATTGCAATGCAGCGATTGATATTAACTGACTGCGGCGCAACACGGGAAGTGCATCGTGCGCCGGGTTTGGGCTCAGCAATTTTCGCGACGAGTTATTTCGCTAGCGCGGCATTATTTCGTCGTTCGAGAAATCCGCGGGACCTCTCGCGCAATCGCTTCGACGCGCGATTGCTCATTTTCTCACGAATGATTATTGTTACGGGCCCCTTCGTTATTGCGCGCGATTGTCGTTACAAGCGTTATTAATACTGTAAGTAATTGAGGAGACGAGGGGCGTGTTCGTTTCAGGACACTTCCTTCTTACATTCAGAATTAAACGGGGGTATATTACGCTATTCAGGAGACAAGATGTCTTTCGTTTTATAATTCAAGACAGGATTAATTTAAAATTCTTCATGTTTGCACTGATACTAATAATTATAATTTTCTTTATGTTATTATTCGCATTTGAAGAATGCTAGATAAACTAAGTGGTATCCGCGATATATTACCAGGCACATTAACAGAACTGACCTTTCCACTTGTCGATTCGACGCTAAACTCTGATGCACGGGTCGAAAAGCAATTGTGCGCCGATGCATTGAAGGCGTATATACAGACAGAGACGCACTCGTGGGTAATGCACCGGAGAGAATTGCAGTGGCATGTTCGCGCGGTGCTTCAAAAGCTGCTATACAGTAATACATATGAATAAGAACGGACATCGTAAAAAAAAGCGCGCTGTGTATGTAACGCAAGATAAAACTTCAAGCCGTTTCCACGACGTTTAAGCATACATTTATAATCGCTGCTTATATCGTGCGCAATCGCAAGTCGCGAGAGCAGGCGCGCGCTTAATTATTTCTTCTAAGTCGCTAATTCGCGATTTTACGCACTTTATATCAAAGTGTAACAAATTCAACATCATCGTGCAGTTGCGTTTAATGATAGTAATACGAGTGCGCGAAATGATAAGTTTACGAATGGAGTTATAAAGCGTATAAAAAAATGGCACGATCCCGTTTTCAACATCTGTGCACGTGCACCGCAAACAGAAGTATAAATTCCCAATGAAATTGCGATAGCAGTCCACAATTAAATTGAAGTCACGATAAAAACACAATCGTAAAAAAGGCGCAACCTGAATTTTCGTCATATCCTGCA